CCTCCAACGCTCAGCGCAACTAGCACACTCTCTCTCCATGAGGCCCCTCGCGAAACGAAACCTGTGTTTCCTCTTTCACCCCTTTCTTTATGAATTTGCTTTGGGCCAGGTGAGAACATTCTCGTTATCATTATTCGCCAATAGTTGCAGGCGCAGGGTCACGTCTTCCCCCCCACCCACTCACTCACTCATCCTCTCTGATCGAGCCCTGCGTAATGATCAAGGAGTCTGACAATTGCATCGCACCACTCTTACCAGAGCCCGGTTCGGAGCAACGAATTCTCCTGGAGGTTATTATTTTATTGGACAACATATGTTTCATGTGAGGATATGTCTCACCAGATGTAACCTCTCTTCCCCCTCGTCCGATAGTCGGGGTCATTTCAGTTAGACGCCTCCTGACCCCAACCACCACGGCGGACGCGCGCCCTTCACTTGCCCACTGCAGGGCCAAGGGCTTATTCAGATTTCCCGCTCTTTTGTGTTGGGAGAAGGTCGAATAATATTGGAAGAAAGCGCGCTTTCTGGGGGGGGTGGGCCTAGTAATAATGATGAACAGGTGGAGACGTTCTGTGGCGTTCACTCATATTTCATGTGGCTTCTGACTCTGGGAGGAGGAACCCGGTCGGGTTGTCAAACTTGCTATTGTCATCTTCGTCGAGTAACCGCCCGGGAACTGGTTGAGAGGCGAGTAGTATTCTATTCAAATGTTGGGAAGAGTATTGAGATCGGTCGGTCAGAAAATGCCGTATGGGGATATTCCCCACTCCGCCACCGACAGAAACTGGTTCATTAGACGCCGTGTTCGCTTATGTAACGTCGTCGTCCTGGTTGCGAAACTGGCAATTATCTTCTATAGACTCTAAAGGGATTCGATCGGGTTTTTTTTCATTGAATAAAAATGGAGATTTTCCTGTATTTTGGAACTGAGATGAACAGTCTGTATAAGTCCACTGAAAGGGAATAGGTGGCGTGATCAGCAGTAGGTTCGAAAAGGAACAAAACACTGAAAACAGGAAAGCTCCCTTTGACACACGTGCTTTTTCCGTTTCCCCAGGGCCCCAACAAAGTAATACTTCCCCCTTCCACCCCATCAAATGTAGATCACACCATGAGATGACACTCTGGTCTCGCCACGTAGCCTGGTAGTGCCCTTTTCGTCATCCCAGACGACTTCGACATCTCCGCCTCTTGCGCTGACTTGTCGAACGGTCATAGCCACGCCGGGTGCGATACTGGCTTTGGCCGCCCAGTACTTGGTCGCAAATGAGCAGGCAGAACCCGTAACGTGGTCTTCATTGATACCCTTGAGAGGGGCGAACATGCGTAAATGAAAGGACGCTGGCACCGAGTGGCCCGCCGGGCTGGTTTCGCTTGCATCTGGTGCCACCGCTTGATTGGTGATAACGATAAGGGGGTATTCGGGGATAGAAGATGCCTGTGCATAAAACTGTCAGCTGTGGGGGGTTCACGTGAGAGGCGAGGAACGGCGGGGTATTCACCAGTCCGAGAGGGTTCACCGGTAGAGCTTCCAGGTCAATCTCGGGACGGATTTCAATGAGAATATATTCTTGGTACGGCGCAGCCTTACACACTCCCACAAATACAACATCATCCTCTGATGCTATTCCTGCAGAGTTCTTTGCTACAGAATTAGCCACCTTGACGTAAATAGCCTGATCGGTCGGTTCGATATCACCGACGGGGAACTCCAGTTCGACTTTGGACGCGCCGGCGACTCGGCGTGCGGACAGGATGCCCGAAAGTGAAGAGAATCGAACCACGTCGAGACCTCTAGGAACGAGAGATTCGTTCTGGAACAGGAGAGAGGCAGTGGCTAACGTGGCGTGGCCACAAATACGGATCTCCCTTGCTGGAGTGAACCAGCGAATTCCAAATAGAGGAGACTGGGTGCTTTCAGTCTTGGGTATTTCGGTGTGGCTGACGAATGCAGTTGCCGGGTGGTTTAACTCGATAGCAATGGCTTGTAAGAGCTGGTCCGGGTATACGGGTGCGTCCCTGGGCAGGAATATGACCGCAGCTGGGCTACCTCCAAATAGTCGATTCGTAAATGCGTCTACGATTGTAAATGGTAGCGACATTGTTGGTAAATGCGTAGGTGAGACGAAAGGACGAAACCTGTCGAGTCATTTGATGATGAGAGCAACATATGTCATACTGTCACAAGTTAACGCTTCGTTCTGTTGATAATTTCCAACCATGATAGATCCGGTGTGATCGTGTGGTTAAAGTACGTGCCTCACTGAGGAGGTCAGATTCTTTTGACAGGGTCGTAGTTGACATTCTCACAAACGAAGACGATCAAACACCTACGATCACCTGAAAGATCTATTTAAACACATGACCCAATCGGTCCGTTCAATTGGTTCCGCCAAGCCGCACAAGCACCCGAGTCCGTCTCAGCTCGAAAACGAGCCAGCTTCTCTCGAGAAACCTGTGATTGAGATGATTTGATGTACAGAAAAAGAACAAGTCACATTGTGGTTATCTTGAGGATAAGTTCTTGAGCACCATCTGATGAGGCAGGGTCGAGGATGGAAAGGCTGCGGCAGTTTGCTTCTAGCTGGTGCTATCCTCGAACCAGCCACCACACAACACCTCTGCATGCCTCAAGCATGCGAAACAAGGTAGTCATCAACTCGTAGAAGGAACTAGCAAAGGGACTCGGATGTTGAATCCGTGGTTTCCAAGCCTCCCGATTTCTGGTCATATCCATCTGTCTTTTTGAAGGAACCTATATTACCGGGTCCTCTTGGATAGCTATACAGCGACTATATCTCCTATACGTCAAATATATACCTCTCCAGCTGAAGCTACCCTTGCGCATCCTCGGAGCTTGACCGTGCTCGAATTTGGATTCACCACTAGCTCAACTTCTCCTCCCCTAGAGCTCACAGACTTCACGGGTACGATTTTGTCATCTCCCTGCGACTTGATAAAGTCCTTGGTCGCCCAATACCTGGAAGCAAACGAAGTTGCAGAACCGCATACTGGGTCTTCTGAGATGCCAAATGGATGAGCAAATGTTCGATACTGGATCTTTGGTTGCTGTTCCGATGCATTACTGGCCTCTTGGCACATGATAAACAGGGGGTATCGAGGTACCATTCTGCCCTATATCAAAGTTTCAATCCACCTCTTATGAGAACACATGAATAATCAAATGATACTAACCAATAGCTCTGTGTTCATCTTTAGCCCTTTCAAGGGAGTTGTCTCCTCTATTTCGACAACGATATACTGCTGGTATGGGTTTGTGCTGGAGGTGACCGCGTGTTTGACGCGAACTGGGGGATTTGACGCCGTTTCTAGGGCACTTTGAACTGTCTGTAAAGTAATTTCGTCTGCCGGGACCATGTCTGCCGTAGGGAACTCCAGTTCATACTTGGGTGGCGTGGAGGGAATTCGACGAGACTTCAAAACACCGGAAAGCGTGGAAAAGTGTATCTCGTTGATATTAGGTGGTATCAACGTTTCATCTGCGAAGACGACAGAAGAACTTGCTATCGTCGCATGCCCACATAGTGGCATTTCTTCGGTTGGTGTGAACCATCGTAGTCCTAGTGATACATAACCATTCTTTTGGTCAGTTTCACTATTCTTATTCTTTGGTACGACTACATATGCCGTCTCAGATATGTTGAATTCTGCCGCGATACCTAGCAGGGTCGAATCAGCTAGTCCATGGTCTTCTGGCAATATTATCACCGCAGCTGGATTCCCACAGAAGGGCTCATTAGTAAAAGCATCTACTACCTTGAACTTGAGCATAACCCGGAAACTGTTCGAAATGTGTGAAGGAGTCAAGTTGGATCGATGCCATGCGGTTTACTATGACCCGTGACTCAGCTGACGAGAAGTAGACTAAATTGATAGCATTCTTATTGGTCGAACACTTCTTGGGGACTATTATGTATTCAACATTTCGGTCATACACGGCTTAGATATAGATTTCTCCTTTGGAAGCGATTCTGGCTTCTCCACGAAGTCGTGAGGTTCCTTTCTCATCATTCCATATGACCTCAATATCCCCCACCCTTGAGCTGACTTGAGTGACTCGTATGGGTTCTCCTGGGGATACATTTGCTTTATTGGCCCAATATTTCGTCGCGAATGAACTCGCAGAGCCGGTGACCGGGTCCTCATCGATACCCTTTTCATGAGCAAATACACGGACCTTGAACGCTTTAGCTAGTCCTCCCCCCTCTGATACTACTTGGTTAGTAATCACAACTATCGGATATTTAGGTTGGTAAGATGCCTGTCATTTGCTCTCAATAGGCGTTTATCACTGAAAATTGTTCGATGCTTACCAGGAGAGCAGCATTGACTTTAAGAGACTTGAGATCAATCTTGGGGTCGATTTCAACCAAGAGGTATTCCGTATACGGAGAACTCTTGCCTCCCCCGACATAGAGAACATCTTTTGCCTCTAAACTTGCACCTTCTATCATCATATTTTGAGCCTTAGAATGGATATGCTGGTCCACCCTTTCATAATCGCCCGCAGGGAACTCGAGTTCGATTTTTGGAGTATTAACGACCCTGCGTGCTATGAGAATGCCAGATTGTCTCGTCGAGAAATGGATGTCGTTGATATTCCTGGGAATGAGATCGGTGTTGTTGAAAAGGATGGAAGCACTGGCAAGGGTGGCGTGGCCGCAAATGGCTACTTCAGTGACCGGAGTAAACCAACGAAGCCCAAAAGTTACGTGATTTGACTCAGGATTGCCTGAATTGACTTGAGGGGTCACAAATGCAGTCTCTGAAAGGTTGAATTGAAGTGCGATCTTTTGAAGGAGACTATCTGGATAGCTGTGATTTTCCGGCAGAATGATAACCGCTGCCGGATTGCCTCCAAAAGCACGGTTGGTGAAGGCATCTACGACGTGGAATTGTAAAGACATGCTGGTGAGCTCCAAGAGAGGACTTGTCGAGTCATCAATTCAATCTTGCTGACAAAGGCTTCGGCCATCTTCGCATCGTCAAATTATATTCTTATTGCTCAATCAGCAAGTGCCTCTGCGAGACCAATCAAACCATTCTGCTGTACGGTCATGTCAAAGGAGTAGTCACTCAGGTTGACATCCATATCCTCTGTGGAGCGCTTAATGTAAACCGTTCTCATCCCACTTACGTGGTTAAAGTTCATCAGACCTAGAAGTGGGCAAGAAGAGGTATACCTACTTGTTAGCAGCTGCCTTGAGATCGTATACATGTGAGGCGACCATAATGCACTCCGACGGTTGTAGTGCAAGCGCCTTCATTGCGGTTTGATATGTTATCTTTGAAGGTTTGTACGCTCCGATGAGATCAGATGCAAAGAACGCATCCCACTCCATTCCGTTTCGTTTTGTCTATAGCGTTTGATGATGAGCCTGTGACACATAAACACAAGTGGTTGAGCCTTACGGTGTCAATCAATTTTCTAGTAGATCCATTGGAAAGGATAGTACTATCATTAGAGACGTAAGAGAGTGCCGGGTATGCAAAAAATGCGTGACTTGCACAATGTATTTCTTCCTAAGACGTTGGAGTCCTTCTACACTGTCCTCCCAAGCAATTACTTGACCCCAGCTACTGATTAGATTGGCCCTTTGTTCGTCGGTCCAGTGGAGATTGGTGTCTTTTTGGATTCGAGAGAGTGCGCGATCGTTGACCTCATTGTATGGAATTACCCCGCTGCTACTGTTTTCGTCCGCAAGCTCTGCTTGGTAGATAAAGAATTCGTTGCGCCATCTATGTGCAAATTCTGTCCAATCTACGTTAGAGCCAGGAGGAGCGTTCTCGATCAATGCTTTTGATACAGGCGTCAGCCAGTCGACGACCGTCCCAAAGTAATCAAAGAGAAGTGCTTTGCATTGCTTGAGCTCGCTATTCGCGTTCATTTTCGAATTCGAGATACTTGAGACTTTGTTGTGCAGTTCCAAGTTGTGGTGGCAGCAGGTGGTCACGTGAACAAACTTGGTTCACCCCTCGTTCGTCGGTAGACTCAAACATGTTACCTCGATCTGGGACAACGACAAACGCGCAAAGAAAAGGTGGACCCCGGTCACGCTCTCATAATGAAGACCGATCCAAGGGAACGTGAGTGTATCTTTCCATGATTGATGCGCAACCTGCTCAACCCGTCTCTCAGTGTTACAGGAGTGGCTATTCCTGAAGCCCCAAGAGGCTCAGACGGGATTGAAGATTTTGAAAATTTAATGGAAAACAATTATGACCAAATTAAGCCAGCCCAACAAATCCGCACAACTAAAAACAGATCCCCTAGCGGATATCCAAGGAACCAGACGCTCTCAGTACATAATGGCTCTGATGATGTATTAGACCGTATGTATGCTAACAATGATTATGAGACTATCCATCAATCTCCATCAGGCCTTCAACCTCGTTCACGACCTGTGTCGACTGTAGGCGCGTCGACATCGCGTACGCGCCTCGCTGATACGGACTATGTCACTGCACCTTCTCCAAGAGTCAACCTCAATCGTAGTACGGCGGTGTCCGGTCTCCAGCCCAGCAGTCTTCGACTACGCTCCCCAGCCTTTGACCCGACGACCTCACTTCAATATCCCCTTTCCAGAGGGTCTAACTCATTTGGAGCACTATCCCGCTATCAAGATGAACAACCTGACCTTGTTGAGGTCATGGAGCGGTATGTCGACTTCAATGGTGGCATTCCGGATGAACAAGGAACACCGTCTCCAGCTCCTTCTGAGCATTCTAGTCCCCCCCAAACATCGCGTAAAATAGTTTACTCTCCTCTGGCAGATCGTATGCTTGGAAAACCTCTCTCACGGGCGGACCAAGTAGAGGTGTCAAGTAACAATGCATCGCGTCTGACAAAGGGCAAGTATCGAGCAGACGAAGTGGAGGACTTGCCGCTTCCTAGCGCATCTCCACGGAAATCTTATGCTAAAGGCCGTTCTTCACTCGTCGAGCCTCAAGTTGACGACCAATCACCGCCTATTTCCTCGAAATCAAGGCTAGATCGACTGAGCGAAAGGGTTGAACAAATAAATCGTAGTCCCTTGATCAAAATTACGAGGGCTGATGCTACTGAGGCACAAGACGAACCTTTTGATGATATCCCTCCCCCTGCCGACTTTGATCAGCCGGAGTATAACGATGATTTGGATAATAACGTCGACATTGAAGAGGTTGGAATTCATGATGCACCCCCCACTTCTGGAAGCGAGGAATCAGAGGCAGAGCAACCTCCTCCTAAACCTATCGAGAAAAAGGCGTCAAAGAAGGCCAAAACAGATGAGGACAAACCAAAGAAGAAGAGATCTAGAGAGGAAGAAGAAGGAGAAGAGCCTCGGCATCAGAAAAAGAAACCAAAATCGACCAGTGCCAAACCCCCAAGTCGGGCGAGATCTAAAACCCCAATGATCCATGAGGATACAAGTTATTTAGAAGGTCTGTTCAATACTCATTTTCTAGAATATATCTGACCTATAATTTCGCTCCAGAGCTGCAGCCACCAAGCGACGCTGAGGATGACGAGGAGGGTGCTCCTCGTCGCAGCCGGCGTGCTAAAATAGCCCCTATGAAGTTCTGGCTGGGAGAGCGCTTAGAATATGATACATACAAGCCTGGCTCTAGAACGCAGGTCCCTACCATCCTTGGTGTGAGACGTGTGCCCGAACCCCCCCATGCCAGTTTGTCTCAACGACGGCGGCGACGAGCACAGCAAAAGGGTCGAAGTCGAAGTCGGAAATTGGAATCAGAGGAGCCACAATCAGAGCAGCAATCTTTGGTACCTCTTGAGACTGGTTGGGACGATGATACAGAGCCAATGGGTCTTGTTGTTGACTACGAAACAAATGAGGAAATCGAGAAACGTACGTGTCGTCGATTCTAATAGGATCGAAACTCAATAATATGCATCTAGTGATTGCATTTACTTCGGCTATGGTGGTGCCGAAACTCACTGAGAAGGGCCATTTCTTATATCAACGAATTTTCGCTGACGAAAAATTCATTGCTGCCGGTCAAGTAATTATTCCGGCCAATGGTGAAAAGCCCAAGAAGTCATCAAAAGATAATACCTATGTAAGTTTTTTCCTATCGATCGTAGGTCAGTCTGACCGAAGTTCAGGTATTCTATCTGATCGAAGGTGCCATACACGTCATTGTTCATGACACCAAATTTTATCTCGCACCTGGTGGCATGTTTATGGTGCCTCGAGGTAAGACATACTCGTGTGCTCAAGTTACGGGCTAATAGCCCTTTAGGCAATTATTATTATATCCGTAATATGCGTGATTATGATGCGAAACTGTTCTTTGTACAAGGTCGACTCATGACCCAGGACGATTTCGAAACTCGGTCAGCTACGGCTCGTGCTGAAAGCAACAGACCCCAAAGCCCTTCCCAGTACACCAGCGACAATGTCGCTGATATTCGCGACCGAAGACTTGTTCCTTCCCATAATAATGCACCCAGCAGTTCTTCCCCTCAGAAAAGAGAGACTTCTCAACGACCTCCCGTGCTAGGCACCATGTCTCGGAAACGGTGATAGTTTATGTCAATAGTTTTCCCTGCTATATACACATATATATGTAGAGTAATGTAACAGAAATCGAAATATTTCAGTATTGCTCCAGATCAAAATTTAGGCGCTCTTTTCTTGTATGACTGGGGAAAACGGTACCGGTCTACGGGCAAGTTGTCACAATGGAGTCAGCACGTTTGCCCTTGGCCATTCCAAGGCAAAGGTGAACCCACCCTTGCGATTCGACTTGCAGTATACTTTGGATTCAAAATAACGATCTTTTTGATATTATGGCGACAGCTCGGCCAAGAGTAACCTCTAGAACACCAAAGCGACCAAAGCTGAACACTGGAGGAGACGAATCAAACTGGAATGATCTCGTCAATTTCCATCTTCCTCCTCGAAGGCATAACTTTACTGCACCTCGTCGCAATAAGAAAGCAAGTAGCAATACACCATGGGCCAAAGAACGTCGGTATAGCCAATGACCTCTACCTTGACATCGATGCTCACTCCCAAGCTCCAAACGAAACAGGCTTCATTAATTCAGCATATAGATTCGTCCTCAGACCATCAGTTACCGCAGATTATACAGTCCATTTCGCAGACCCTGATATGTACGTGTGGCTCATATCTTTGTATCAATGTCGGTCACCGCTCTGACCCTTGCACACGCATACACCAGCTATTTCCAATGGGCAGATATTGTCCAAATATTAGTACCGCACACTGGGGCTTCGATTACTGGTGAAGGCAACTCCATGTGTCCTATTTGTCTGGGAGCACCTATTGCACCAAGGATGACTAAATGTGGACATGTGAGAATACCTTGCTTCCCGTGATTCACCAATTGGTGTTTTACTAATGTTCAACAGGTTTATTGCTATGGCTGCATACTACACTACTTCCAGACTGGCGAAGACAGGGGCTGGCATCGTTGTCCTATCTGCTTCGACACCATTTCCGAGTCGGGTCTCAAACCTGTTAAATGGCTGTACGGCATGGAAAAGGAAGCAACAGGGGGTGATACCCTCACCATGCGATTGATGCTCCGGCCCCAGTTGACCACACTCGCCCTACCACAATCCGCTACTTGGCCTTCGGAGCTCATTCCGCCGCATCAAGCTGCGTTCCAGTTTCTTCCGGACATTTATAGCTTCGCAAAGTTCATGATCCCTACACCAGAGTCCCTGCAAAAGGACTTTCAAATGGAGGTCGATGCCTTGAAGATAGACCGAAACGAGAAACTCAACATGGCGGACGGCCTTGGCGCATCATTTGTCGAAGGAGCTATTGCAAAAGTGTATCATCTGATCGAAGAGATCAGAGCACTCGATGTTCCGTCCTTACGGGATGCCATTTCTACTGCCAAAAAGGGAATGGATCATATATTAGCATTTGCA